ATTTAAATAGGCATGCATAGTTTAGTTCAATTGAATGTGTTATTTATAACTACAGTAGTTTTTTTTTATTTTAAAACAACTATTTGTAATGCTCCCTAAATAATAAAAAAATAAATTACAGTGAAAGCAATGAAGATTTTGTAAATAACAGTAAACCTTTTTTTTTTTTTTGGATTTACGGTATTTTCTTATTTTGATGTTTTGAGCTCCTTTGTGTTTAGAACAATATATACTAATTTTTAAAGTATCAAAAAAGTTTAATAAAAATCTTTCAAATGCGACTGTGGCTTTTTCCCCCAAAAACTTTGTCTTCAAAATAACGGTGCGTCTTATATTCCGAAAAATACGGTAATTGTATTGCATAGAAATAGTTAATTGTTAAGTATGTTTAAAATTACGTACTTAACCTATTACTTCTATACCAGCTTCTTCGTGAAGACTATTTAGTGCAGCCCTGGTTTTTGCCATTATGAGTTGCTTAAGGTTAACTTGCATTATAAAATAGTTATTAGTGTTAAGATATTGTACTAACAGTATAAGGTTTGTTAACTTAACATGTAGCATGCGGGTTTTTCTTAGTTTTATTTTGCATAATTTAAATATGACATTATAATCGCAGTTGAATTCTAAACTTAACAAAGTCAAGGTAAATATTACCAAACATTACTTGTGACATAGTTTCTTTGCAAGTGGTGCCTGCTGGTCATCATCCTAATTAATGGTCTGAAAAAAATTACTTCTCAAGTCCAGATTTTTGTCCTTCAGTTGCTGTTGGTGGTGAAATTACATTAATTATGTCTAACATCCCCAAAATTCTTATTGTTTTAATAAGTTGTTTTTTACCTTGTAATTTGAAATTTTGTCGCATAATCAATATATAAATTTTAGTTTGTATACATAATTGTGATTCACCGCATAAAAATCGGTGTCCGTATTGTTGCTTACAGCGAGAATACCCAACTGAAACGAGTTGTCATACTGTTAAGAGGTTTTATTTTTTTTTACATGTTACTGATACTTAAGACTAATTATTATTTATTGTTTTGTAGATTTTTAGCAGCTGTTTTGGTAGAAGTTTGTACATAAACGTATACTTGTTATTAGACTGACATTTTACAAAAATGTTTGTCAAGACTGATTCATAGTCGGCATAGTTAAGAAGATAGGAAAAATAAAAACAATTTAATGTATTATATTTGGTGTGACGACATTGTCGTTTCTAAGCTTTCTGGCGCGATCTGATTGGACCCTCTGCGTATGTAGCTGTAGTACCAGTATATTTTGCTTTAACGCTTGTTGTACCGACGGGCCAGAAGGGTTTGAGCACCGTTAACGTTTGCATGGCTTATGATTTATTGAGTGTATCTGCTACTAGCACATACTTTTAACATGTAGAATTTGTCTGTGATATACGTGGCTAAGCCTCATTTCAGTAACATCCATGATGTTTAATAATGCTTGGAGACGGCTTGAATGGGTAATGAAGAAAACTTTAATATAAGTTTAACATAATAGCAAATGTACAAGGTTTTGTCATCATCAGCTACAAGTAGCTTACACTGATATATATATATATATATATACAGTATGGAGCAATAAGGTCACACGATATATCTTGACATGTGTAAACAACTTGTACCTGAAGATGACAAAAACCTTGTGAAACGTTGTACATTTGCTGTTATGTTAAACTTGTATTAAAGTTTTTCTTAATTACCCATTCAAATCGTCCTCAAGCATTATTAGGCTTAATGTGGGTTCCTGAAAAAGCTAGGTTTACAGTTTATTGCATATTGTCGCATATATATATTTAAGAAATTAAGTAGAGAATGTGCTTCAAAAATAACTTTTTTCATATCGGTTAATACTATTTACCCTTTGAAATGTTTAGCTGGTAAGGTTTGCTTACTGCTTCATTCTTTTCGTGAAATGTGGTGAATGCTTTTTTAACTATTTGCAAATTCTGTCTTATGGTGTGTTAATTGAGAAGCAGCATTTTAACTAGAGTCCATGTTGGCTAGATATCTGTTGAAGAGAACGCTCTTCCAACCCTACCCGTACATGACCTTCGGTTTCTCCTTAGGCATTGACTGCAACGGTAACACGTCCATCAGTCTATTGGCTAAAGAGTTCCGCATTGGTCTTCTCTATGTGGGAGAGGCTAAGATGTAAGTTGGGAACGTGGCGGACGCTGATTGGCGAATACAACCTCTTGTACGGTCAACACTGCAAGAGAGTTGCTTTTATTACTGACTGAGGTTGTTGTCATGGTTATAATGGCTTCTTTTGGCGTGCTCCGTAATATTCTTTGTGTTAAAACTAAAATGGTAGCGCCTAGCGTTCTTCTTACCCTGAGTGATAAGAACGATTAGACGCTCTTGTAGAGGCTTGGCAACAATGTGGCAATACAAGATAAGTTGCACTTTTTAAAGAAAGTAATACATATTCCTTACAGTTAAATTTTTAACTTAAAAGCATATTAGCATGAGCCCCGAGACATTTTTGCTTCAAGTGCCTAGTAAAGCTTCGATATTCGTAATTAATAAAATTTAAAACTATGTATTCTAATCGATAAGATGAGTGACTGTAACCAGCTGTCAGTGTTTACAAAAACCTATTTGACGTAGTTCTGTTATTCGGTTCAGCTTGACTGAAAGAATGAAGTATCACAACTCCTGTGTACTTGGACACATTCTAAAAAAAACCGACTTAGAGAGGTTTTGACAACACTTCTAACTTTTACAACAATCTTCTAAAACGTTTAAAGAATGTGAATGTTTGTGTTTTAAACACTGTAAATATACATACAGTATTTTTTGAACATCAAATTTTAAAATGAGTGTGTGTACACACAAACAACATGGACATTATAAGTCAGAAATAACTTTTATAAATGTGTCAGTCTTGTTTGTCATCTTAAGTTACAAGTTACAATCAATAGATGTAAAGATATTAAGTTATACCATTTGTAGAACAATGCAAAAGTATAACTTTCAACAGTAACATATCTGCAGAAATTGTACCAAATATACTGATAATGTTCCATCTCTCCAGAAATTCTCAAACAGAATAAAAAAAACAAGTAGGCAGCGGTGGGGAAGTCAGAATTTATAAAGGAGTAAGAGTTAAGATACTTTAACCCACAGTGACCAGTTCCACTACCAGTCACTGTCTGTACTCAAGGTAGTAACCCTTAATGTTGAGCATAGTAAGTTAGATCATGTTGGAACCCACCAAAATATCAAGCATAATATTAAAAAAATATTGTCAAATACAGCGAAAAATTGTGTAAATCCTACATAATGTTTGTGTGTGTGTGCTGTCGTGGATTTTAGGTTTTAAATGTGTTTTTATGATCTGGCAAATGTATATCAACTGATTCCAATGTTCTGAGTTATACATACATGTATATGTAGCTTTTTAGGTCAGCAAGTATACAAGTATGTCGGATGCACTTGTGCTTTAATTCTTTTGTCAGTTTTGTAATTTCATGCATATAAATCAATAATTTAATTTTTGGGATTAGTATACGTATTCACAAGAGTAAGTGCTTAAATAGTTTTTATATTAAGGCTGACGTAAAGTAAAACCCATAATGACTAATAAAGAAAACATTGTTGAAAACCCAGAAAAGTCACAGTGAGTTGAAAAGCATAATGTATTTTTAATTACTGTCTAGAATAAAGGAAACATGTTTTGTATTCATTAGATTAAAGTTTATGGAAAATGAGCAGTATGAAGTCAGCTTAGAATAACTATTATGATTGAATAATATTAAATTACATAAGTCCAGGATGAAGACTCCATAATATGTTAAGGTGTGTGGCAATGCGATACAATTTATGTATCTTCACAAAATTTAGTAAGCTTTCAGTAAACATTATGAGTCTTTTACACAGAAAAAAATCAGAATTTCTAACAAAGTATTTTTGCTTTAAATTAGTGTTTTGATATATGGAGTCAAAGTAGTCACATTTTCGAATATAAAGCGATTTTCATATTAAGATTAAAAATACTTTTCGCCATCGAAAAATTAATAGGTTTCCAACTTTTTTCAATAAATCTTCATATTTTATCTGCTATATTCACTACCTTAATCTTATTTGAGGTTGGTCAGTTTCACATTATACATTTGTTTCTAATTAAATTTTATTGTTTTATTACTATTTGAAAAACACTGTAAAATGTGAAGTTCTTAAGTAACACAATGTTAGTAATGTAGATAATAAATTATAGACAAGACTGTCGAACTTTGTAACAAACAGTTGGTAAAACTTCTGTATCTAGATGCATATCATATCGCATCTCAGCATCAATATCTAGATACGGGTTGTGTCGTATTGTATCAGCCCTAATCATGTTATATTGGGTAAACTAATCTTTATTATGGTTGTGGTATATGCTCGGTGTTGGTAAGTACCATATTCCTCGGTTGAAAAGTGGATAAGTAAAGTTTGCCTTTCAAATTTGCTACTTATACTTTGTGTTTAACTGTTTTAAGTTAAGTATTTTCATTATCACTGTTTTCAGGTAAACTTTATTTCCTTGGTTGTACAAAAAAAAAAGACTTGTAATAAACAATATCTTGGATAATACAAATTCAATGAATACATGACAAAAGTATACATTTGCTCTGTAACCTCACATGGATTTATGTCAACTTTTATGGAGAAACATGAATGTGGATTATTTATGAGGTAACTGTTATTGTCATCAGTAGAGAAGTACAGTTTTAATATTTTAAAATCTGTTATTATTTGCACTGCATTTGTAACACCGTTAATTTTTGTCTATGACAGGTTAACAATGCTGAGGGTGAAGAAGTGAAACAAAAAGTACTAAAGGTGAGTTTCCTGCAATAAACTGTTGCACCAAAATTATGTGGCAAGTCCTTAAAAATGGTGTTAAAATTAATTTTTTTGTACACTTGTAAATTTTTAGCCTTTAATTGGGATTACAACAAATAAAATATTTGTTATATTGCATTATTTGTGGATTTGCATCAGCTTTTATGGAGAAACATGAATGGGGATTATTTATGGGGTAACTGTTATTACTGTTTGTCTCTTTTCGTTACATTGCATAAATTACACTTGGTATATTTTAACCTCCAAAGCAGCTGCTTTATATATATATATATAGAGAGAGAGAGAGAGTGTGAAAAGGCTTTACTTATAATTTTCAGTGTATACAAACATGTCTGTTAGCATTTTAAGACTTGGATATATCATATTGTCCAGCACCTGTTATGACTTGCATTACATTAACAGGCTAAAATAGGCTATTATTGCAATCTAAATTATAAAAGCAGAAGATTAATAAGTAAAATTAATATTAACCTTGTGAAAAGCTGGTTTTTCTTCAAAAATGTAATAAATGCTTAGTTTACAATTCAACAAGTTTTAAGTCTTGGATTAATTTTGAATTTGATGGTTCAGTTTCATTTCACATATATAAGTAATAGATGAAAACTGTGTTCATTAGAATTAGTACAGGTGCAAGAAATATAACTAAACCTTCTGGTTGCAAATTTTATTATTGCAGAATTAAATACATAAAACAAGTTTAAAATTTAATATGAGAAGGTCTAAAGTTTATCTTTGCTCAGACTTGTATTTTCTTATTTAAAAAATAGAAGTTGCAACTTATACTTTGTTCCATTCTTTTTTATGTTTCATCATGATTTAGAGAATAACAAAATTAAAGATTTTAAAAGTTCAAATGTAAACAACTGAAATATTGTGACTTTATGTGGAAAATATTTTTTCATTCTGTTCAATTATTTTTTCTCTTCTTTTCTCTACAGACTGACCATAAAGGTATGTTTTATGTTTGATTAATTAAATTTCTTTGTTATTTGACTTTTATCTGTCATTATTAAAAATACATAATTGCACAAGTTACTAGTTTTACAGTTGATTATGTAAACCCATATAGCTACTTTTTCATACAACAGTCATAAAATTTAAGTATTGAAATTTTTGTACCATGTTTCTCAAATTTAAATATTTGATTTTTCATACTTAATTTTATAACACACAAGAGTATCAACTCTTAGATTATACATTAGTTTACACACTGTGAAGTAATTAAGTAATCCTCAATCATAGTTTTATTTTAAAATATTTAATGAAAGATACATTATCATCAGTAAGGTCCTGGATTTTTACCTTAAATGTCTTTCAGTATGCAGTCTCTTTTAAAATAAGCTTTGTGGTAAAGATTCATAATGAATATTCACTTTAATTAGAAAAAGAAAATGGTAAGTCTGAAGATAAATTTGAAGAAGGAGGTGATGAAGAAGATGAGGATGAAGAAGGGGTTCCTGAAGGTGATGATTTTGATGAAGAAGGAGACGAAGATGGGGCTGATGAGGAGGGTGACGAAGATGAAGATGATGCATAAGAAATCATAGTGGTTGTGATGGCCACTGTGGGGGGAGCAATCCGACAGACTGTGGGTTTTAAATTGTTCAGGGTATAGAAGGCACCACAGATGGGCAGATCGTCACATGACTTGTAGACTAAAATTCTTCAGACTTTGTACTGATATAAATTTATCAGGATTTTCTGGAATGAGCTATTACCATCCATCATCTGGTTTAATTTTTGGTCTCTGAGCAAAGATGTTACGATCTGTGTTTCGTACGTGCTCATCTGCCACCTCTTCATCAGCCTGTGATTGAATTTCAGTCAAGGCTGACTTTCATGTAACATAATGTGTGAAATGGTACGGCTGTATGCATGGGTGTTTTGTTATTGGATTTCATTTTTCAGGTAAAATAAACAAAAAAAAGGAAAACTTCACCTTTAAATAATTTGACTGTTTTGTCGATATGTACTTGTTCTAGATAAGAAAGGGTTCCTATGTCCCTTTTAGTGTGAGGTGAGGTGTGTATTTTAAAGTTCTTTTGTCTTTTATCAGTGTTTGGATTATCACTTAGCTAAAGTAGACGCACTTCTATTAGCATACTTTTTATTCAACTGAGAGCTGGAGGAATATACAATTTTTTAATAATTTTCTCCTTAACTCTAATCATTATTAATTAATGAATAAGTAAATTTGCTAGATTATGTGGTAAATTAAAATGATGTACTTACCCCTCAGACTTAGTTGTAAGAAGCCCCGGTAAATTTTGGTACAATTTAGTGGTGTGTATGTTTAGAGTGTTGTGTTAGTATGTATTGATAAGATAGTATTACACAGTGTAAGATTGATATTTGAAATATCTCAGTCACTTTTTTTTTTTCACACACATTCCTTTTTTTTTTTTTGTAGCTGGTTTCTTATCACAGTAACTAAAGAGATGGCTTTCTTTAATTGTTTATATCATTTTAGAGTTAAGCTGTTTACTATTTTATTGTTTCAGTGAGGGGTAGGTTTTTGATCTGGCATTTTTAATTGCATTTGTGGAAACTTCTAGTATTACAAGAAATGATAATATGGTTAGCTTTGTTATAAAATTAATATCACCGATCTGAATAAATTAAAATGATTGAGTTATTAAATGATTTATGAAAGCATAATGGGTAAACGTTCACAAGTTTTAAAAATATCAATCAGTTCATACAGTTTCGTAACTTGCTCATCATGTTAACAGTCCTTGGTCCATTTTTGTAATGTGTTGTAGCCACTACATTTCATGCAGGGAAGGTGTAATAAAGTGGTTCCAATAGATCATTGTTTTTTTTGTTGTTGCTTTTTTCATTGGTTTGTTGTAGTTTTATTGATTTACGTAAAAATATTTTACAAAATTATATATACCAAAGCATTTTGAAATTACAGTATTGAACTCCAGTCTAAAACATTTTACAAGAGCCTTAGAAATAATAGTTTTTGACATTTTCAAACTAGCGTATTTTAATTTTCAGTTGGAAGTAACTGCCTCGTAATTTTCATAAAGGTTGTGGTCGTTTTTTTTTTTCTAAATTATTATTTCTTACTTGTGTAGTGTTTTGCATGCGTCTGAAGAACTGAACAGTTGTTGCTGAAGTAAAATTGTGTAAAAGGAACTGGATAATTAAATTGCTGTTTTCGCTATATATGTAATAAAACTTTATTTTGTCGTTATCAAATTCATTACAGTGACCGATTGAATAAACAAAATTAGAGTGTAGTAACAAATAAAACAGTATTGGATTATCGTAAAATTCGTTGGGAAGACCATTGGGTTATTGATATTTTAAATCGTAGTAAATAAAATCTTTATAAACTTCTGGTGTTGAAATAGCTATACTTGTTTTTATAACTCGTAGTTAATAGAACCTAAAATACTAAAGTACGTGTAACGAAGTAGTATTTTATAGTTACGTTACAACTGTTTCGAAAGGGAATGTAGTTTCCTCGGTTTGATGACAGTTTGTACGTATTCAATTTGTCACTTGGACGAATGTATTTTCATTAGTTTTGGTGACAACTTTATTGGAAAACGTGCGTGAAAGGATATCCGAGGTTAATACCATAAATAAGGTTCAACATATTTCATGTACGAAACTTGTAACAAACCTGTTTCGAAGCAAGAATTACAAGGTAGTCTATGTCAACTAAATACGTGAAGCCAGGCTAGAGATTTTAGAAGCTACGATACCATCGGTTATTTATTTATTTTGAACTAAGAATAAGGTCACTAAATTGATGCTAATATACACCATAACGTATTTGCGCCGTAGTACTATAGTAGTAATGATAAAACGATCGTTCACCCTAAATTCGTAACTGAAGAGCATCGTAGTTGAGTAAGAAGGTAAAAAAATAAAGATCATATTTTAGTTAAATAGGTTAACTTTGCTTGAAATAATTGCTTTTTATAGAAAAATTGGATAGTATTCATTAACATAACTATAAAAATTGTAACTTATTAGTTTGTCTATCATATGGGTTGTTTTCAGCAAGAGATGGAAAATTTTCACATTTGGCAAGAATTCTGGTGTCAAATATTTACGTAGACTATTTTAATAATAAGGCATTGAAATGTTAATATAAATAGTTGCGGCTTATATTTCCAGAAAGAAGTTAATTCATGAATAAGAGTAAATTTAAAAAAAACATTTATGAGCGATCAATTCATCATAGTTTATGTTGGTGCATTGATAGTATAAATTAAAAATTATAAAACCGTGTAAAAATAATAAAGTTGATTTTGTGTGTGTGTTGTTGTTTTTTTTTTATCAAGAACCTTTAAAAATTATTATAGAATTAAAATTATTATAACCCTATTATCAAAATAAAACTTGTTATAACATTAGCTTGTGACATAGGTATTCGACCGGTTTAAGCTATTGTTCCCCATTCTAAAATTGCATTGTATGAACTTGAGAATCCGAGTTTATTATATTTTAGTACCTTCAAAATATAACGTGTTACAATCATTAAAGCACCAACGGGCTTTGACTTAAAGGTAGTTGTTGGACAGTCGGTAGTTACTTTCTCTTCTTTTTTTTTTTTTTAAGCATTGTTTCAGTCATAATAAACTGATGGGGCGCCAAATCCTCATGTCAGGTGCAGAGGGAGCGCTGCTCCGGTACTTCATGTAAAGATTATTTCCTTTGCTGAACATATAAATTTAGATGCTGATCATTGGGGTTGTGATCATGTCTCATATGGAACACTTTACAAAATTAAGTTTTTATTATAAGCTGAAAGGTCTCTTAACGTTGTAAATACTACTACTTTATAAAATTATATACATCAAGCAATTAGTAAGCGCAGTAATTATATTAAATAACGAGTTTCATAATTAGTTGTTCCATCGTCAGATTATGTCGTAACTCGATAAACTGAAATTCACTATTTTTTGCGCTTTCATACTTTGATTATGGTGATCAATGTGTCTTTAGAAGAATTCAAAAGCAATTTCGACAAACTAAACAAATGTAATGTTTATTTTTACCTTTACTATTGGGAGGGAAAAAAGTAAAATTGATAGAATATAGCATTTTTTAAAGAAAACCGGGATCTCTGTATTTGCAGATGAGGTATTTTTCAGAACATTCTTTCCTCAGAGTCAGTTAAAAGTTGTGTAATTTTTAAGAAGAAAGGATTAGTTTAAATATGACTGGAAAGTTAATGGATCACAGTAGTACATTACTTCAAATCTGCTAACTTCTCTCACAGGTTTGAGGTAGCGACAGAATCGCTTCAATTACGCAGGTTGAAACGGCGATGTTCTCTGTACTCTGCGAATGTTAGAATTGAAATTGCAAATTCAGATAAAATATGATATTGTACCATTCCATCGTATGCAACTTTTTGTGGCGCGTTGCGTCTTTTTTCAGAAAATTTAATTTTTGTTTTCAAATAGCCAAAAGTAGTTTTAACGAAGGTTTCTGTGTGATTGAGTTCACTAAAAAGTATAAATGAAACTATATACTACTGAAATATGATATTAGGGACATTTCATTGTATAATTGAAGTTGAATTTCAAAGTAGCTAGCTAAAGTTTGAAAATCCTTGTTAAATCAATGACGTTTGATTGGTAGAGGGGTCAGAAAGAAGCAGATTTCAAAGGGCAAAGTGATCCACCCTCAAAAATCCGATCGAATTCACTTCTTTTACTTACATTTAAAGGTTTATTGAACTGCAGTATCCACGGGCGCCACCCTGTATTTTTAATGAAAATCCTATTCATCTTAATTATAAGTGACAATGAAACTTAAGAAATGTATTGATAGATTATTAACTTTTATAATATATATGTTTTTCAATTTTAGTTTTTTGAAGAAATAAATCGCATAAAAGTTACCCATGTGACTCAAAAATTTTGTTGAAGTATTAACTTGTCTGGTAAAGAACAGAACCCTCAAAACTTTGTTCATAAAGTAATTATGTGTATGTTGTTTTGAAATGTGTTATAAAGGTAGATAGGCAGAGTTTTTGTGTCTCATCGTGGGTTGGGAGTGATTTCCTGGGAACTTAGGATAAAGTCTGTCATCAAGGAAAATGTTATCTGCCCCGTTTGTAAAGTTCTCGGGGCTTTGTACATTTGCACTCCAATGTGTGTCATCGTATTGTTTGATTTTTAGAAATAAATAGATATAATTTGAAAAGGCTGTGCGAGTTGTTACTTAGAACAGAGCCAAACAGCTACTATATAAATGTTTAATTATTTATTTATTTTCGTATTAGATATTTTAAGAAACCGAATCAAACTTGCATGATGATTCTCTAGGAAATTTTCTTTTTTAGGTTTGTCCACTCTAACTGGATACCAGTAATCTTTAGAATCTTCGAAGACAACACAACTACTGAAGTGTATATTTGTTTTGAATTTTTAAGTTAAGAAGCCGTTACCTTTATTTACTAGAATAAAGTAACTACTACTCACTATAATCTGGGTCTAATAAATCTCCTGTCGTTTTGTGTTTTACAAATAGAGCTTCAGGTCAGTTCTAACATTGCTAATTGGGTCTTTGTCTCTTGGAAACAAAAAATATCACATACTTAAAACAAAAATTGCTGACGCTGCTATTGAGATTTAGTAATTAATCTTTTATATTGTTTGTTTGGGTATTTATATATATATAACCAAAACATGTATATACCTTACATTCTGATAATGATTTCCTTTTGTGGTACGATTAGATACGTCATAAAGAAAAGTAATTTGAAGAGGAGGCAGTTTTGTTAACTTAAATGATAGAACATCTTGGTGAACTACATAAGCTCACTTAACTTTTGCCAAACCTTTAACAGGCTGCTGTTCTAACTATCTCCTGTAGTATCTGTGATAGAACCACAGCGGCTCACATATGATGAGAGGCTTTCTCCCGTTTTACCATGGTTTTGTGATAGTTAACGTTATCTCCCTGAATAGCTTCGAAAGTGCAGACTGACTGGGGTGAATGAAGCTGTTTCCTGAAACTTGTTAACACACTTTATTCAATGGTCTCACTAAGGATGACCTGGTAAGATGTCTACAGGATTCACTGTTTAAATTATTGTAGATTGAAATAAACCGTTAGAAGCTGAAAAGAGACAAAATCTATTAGCGTTGGTGTGACAAAAATGACAGTGCTCAGCGTGGAAAAGTTTAGTTTTCAAGAAAGTCCATATATACGAGTAAAATCTGGTGCATGGTGCATTTGTTTAGACATTCAACCCATCACACCTATTATAAGACATAAATGTAACAACTACTAAATGGGACAAACAGAGTAATATGATAAAATGTACATTTCATCCATATCAATGACTTTTCTAGTAGAAAAGGTTTAAAACAACTTATTCTGAAAGCTGTAGTCATAACAGAAGATCAATTTCCAAAAGCAACTCCAATTCAGAGTAGTGAGAGAAATAGCAGAGAAGCCACTAAGACAGAGGATAAGGTGAAAACCTCTGGCAATATTCCAAGACTTTTCTGAAGGAAAAAAAATCAAGAGTTTGTGTTGTAAGGAAATTCTTGGAAACTTAAAAGTGAATATATTTATATACGTGTTTTATTTTTGTTTGTGTTTGAACACAGCAAAAGAGTTAACTCACTGAATCTATAAATGGAGAATGAAGTGATGATCTGTTTATTTGTTGTTAAAGTTTCTCGAGGGCTAATGACGCAAGTAGACACTAATTTGAAGTGGTGGAGTAGAGGGAAGACAGCTAGTCAACACCACCAACTCTTGAACTACGCTTTAACGACGAATAGTGGAATAGAATGTAACATTATAGCGCCCCCGCGGCTGACAGAA